CTTGGTTTACTAATCAATATTAATTAAACAACTCGAAGTAATTAATGAGGATGAGCGATCTGCGTCAGGTAAAGGCAATATATGTAGTAAAGAAGTATATGCAATGAAAAAATACTAATTTTTGTGAAAAATAAATAATACAAATGCTTGTATGTGTATGTGTGTGTGCGTATGTGCACGTGTGTGAGTGGAAGTGCACGTGTGTGCGAAGAAAATTATTTTAGGCATTGATGAGATAAAATAATTGCAACACTTAGTAACTAACAGTTGACATTTTTGTTGTTTTATTTGAAATTGACTGTTAATTTAGCGCTGTTAAGAGCAAATTAGAACAATATAAGGCAGAAACAAGTTGCTGAACAACATGAAGAATAAAATTTGGTACAAAAATGAATAAATAAGTTTGAAAATTAGCAACATGTGACGAGGGACAACTATTTGTACCACCATACTATCAAGGGCGCAGGCAATGAACTCCCGGGGGAAGGCAGTTGCCGACAGAAGTAAAGCAATCGTGTCGGGACAAATGGCATCGCAATTTATGCATTTATTGTGTCATTTGATTTAAGCATCATTTTGATTCTCATTATAATGATTAAAATCAAAATTGTAAATAATGATAGTGATTAAAGTTGAAATTATGAATAATAATAACAATAATAATAGTAATAATTGTAATGTTATTAATAGTTTTACCTTTGTTACTATTTTTATCATTATTTGTATTCATTAATTTATTCGTTGGTTTAATTGCTACATTTGAGTAAATATTTTACAGAGCAAATAAAAAATGATGTAAATAGATGTCAGCAAATTGAAGGTACATCAGAATGTCTTCATAATAAAGTTTACTCACTACTGCTATTTGATCAATTTATAATTAATTTAGCTATGCATTTTTTGCATTATTCATTCTCAAAAATGCAATTTAATCTTCAAAAAGATTTATTATTATTATTATCGGCATAATTTTAATCTCTATTCATAGCTTGATTTGATTTTCTAAAAAATCAATTGGTTCTTGAAATTCAA